CGGGGCCTTGAGTCAGCTCTGCCTCTTCTGCACATGCGGCACTTGGTGTTCACAGAGCAGAGGACCCTGGCCTCTGTCTCAGGTGGCGGCGGGTTCCTACCCACTCCCGTGAATTTGATACCAAATCGCAGACATATGTGGACAGGCTTAGGGGAGGATTCATCACCAGACAGTCACTGCTGAACGCTGCCCCTGCCTTCTGCCCTGTGCTCAGGGCTGCTGGGGACTCAGTGGTGACCGACATGGCCAGGCCCTGCCCTCCTGGAGCTCTCAGTCCAGTGTGACATGCGGATTTGTCACCAGACCCTGATGTCTTCCAGAGGTCACGGCTGGGAGGAAGGGAGCTCAGAGAGGCCGCCTTACCCGGGCTGGGGAGGAGGAGACAGCAGAGATGAGAACTGAAGGATGAGTAGAAGTGAGTCACAGGAGGATGCAGATGCAAACAGGGAGCAGCGAGCAGGGAGCAGTGTGTCAGGAATGGGGAACAGAATGTGCAAACCCTGTAGCAAGGAGGGAGTGTGGTGCATCAAGAGAGCCGTAAGTACGATGGGGCAGAGAGTGGAAGTCGTGTCTCCTCATAAGGAAATCCAAGGATGAATAAATGAATGAATGAGGGAGAACATGGTGTGGATGGGACGGGGTAGGTTGGTCCAAAAGGAAGCCAGATGAGTCACAAAGACCAGCTTTTGCAGAGAGTGCCTCATAAGCCAGCCTAAGAGTTGGAACTTTACCATAAGAGCACTGGGGAGCCATTGAAGGTACTAGAGCACAGTGCAGAAGGGTCACACTTGGGCTTTATTAAGATCTACCTGACTGTCACATAAGGATGGATTGGGGGCTGAGTGCCCAGGGAGAGAGTGGGCTGGGAGAGGATAAGGACAAAATGGACCAGGGCAGGGGGTGAGGGGATGGAGGAAGGGACAGGCTGGGAGTCCTCCAGGAACTGGGAACTCCTGCTTGTTCACCAGCGTTTCCGGGACTCAGTGCCCGGATGGTGAGGATCTATCCACGTGTCTTTTCTCTGTGTCTTCCTCAGCCAGTCTGCTGGCCTGTGGCATCTGCCAGGCCTCGGGCCAAATCTTCATCCCCCACGTCCAAGGGGTCCAGGGATATTCGAGTGTCCTGGGCCTAGAGAACGCCCCCGAGGATGCCCAGGAATACCGCTGGTACCGGGGCACACAGGACAGCGCAGAAAGCATGATTCTCAGCTACAAACCTCCCAGTCCCCTGGAGCCTGGGCCCGTGTACAGCGGCCGGGAGAGAGTGACCAGAACCGGCGACTTGGTGGTCAGGAACTGCATGCTAAACGACACAGGAAACTACACGGTCCGGGTGGACACAGGCAACGACACCCACACGGCAACTGGCTGGCTCGAGATCCGAGGTGGGTTGGCAGGCTGCCCACATCCCACTCAAGGAGGACTGGACCTGAGGGCCTTGGTGTCCTCGTCCAGGTCCTCCGCCCACCTCCGATGACACGCGAGCTTGACACACGGCTGTCCAGCGTATCACGCAGAGACGGGTCACTGCCACCTTTAAAGATTTCAGTGTCTGTGTCAGATAGTGATGCGATTTCTACCTCTGTGTGACAGATAGCCCCCAACGTAGCAGCTTAAAACAACACCCATATCACACAGTTTCTCGGGGTCCAAAGTCCCAGCATAGCTGAGCCGCAAGTCTGGGCGTGGCTTAGCTGGATCCTCTGCTCTGAGTCTAAAAATCACTGGCCTGACCTATGTTCTCATTCGGAGCCTTAATTAAGTAGGAAAGGATCTATTTCCAGGCTCATTCAGGTTGGTGGCCCAAATAACGTCGCTCTGGCTGTGGGATTGAGGCCCCGCTGGCTGCTTCCCGATAGTTGGTTGGAGGCTCTTGGGATCCTGAAGCCACCGCGTGACCTGCCACGTGGCTCTGTCCTTGGTATTTCGGATCATGCCTGTCCCTTCCTTCAAGGCCAGCTAAGTGTCCTTCTCTAGTCTGGTAAGACGGAGTCTCACACTAAGAAGGTAGTGATGAGAGTGCCGTTCATGAACCTCTGTCATGCTAGGCTAGAAGCCAATCGTGGGCCCCACTCACACTAGAGAGGGAGGACTGTGCAGGGGTGAAGGTCATGGTGCCATCCTGGAGTTCTGTCTCCTGCAGACAGCTCCTGGGCTCCACGGGCTGGGGAGGAGAGGGTGGACCTTAAGAGAAGATGTCCTGTATTTGCTTCAGACTCCCTAGGCCTTTTGTCTTCCCTCTGTGAGCCTCAGTTTCCTCCTCTGTGAAGTTTGAGAAATGTCTACCATTGAAGTTTGTTGCAAGATTGGAGGGAATATCCGTAAAGCGAATAGGACTCCAGTATTGGGTCATTTATGATGTGTCATTCAAATGCCACCTGGATCCTCCAATGAGGATTCCTGGTTTCGGGGTTCAGAAATAACCATCAGGTCACGTGTCTGTGGGAAGACCCCATGATTATCGAAGCTGACACAGAGAGATGTCCCAGGAAGGACCCCTGCCTCGGCAGCCCCACTGTCCACTCCCTTCCCCTCTGCCCCTCAGCTCCAGCCTGACCCTTCCCAAGACCCAGACCTCACTGTTGGGCTGTTGGCTTCTCTCCAGCATGCCCCACTCCCCACCCCCCGTAGAGGAACAGAGCACAGGGAGGCGCACCCCACCCCTAATCTGCCATCTTCCTGTTTATCCCAGTGCTGGGGAGCAACCCGGGCATCTCAGTCAACGCCACCTCCCTGGTGGAGAGCATGGATTCCGTGGCCGCCTACTGCCACACCAATGTCACCAGTGTCACCTGGTACTTGAATGCTGTGCCGACATCCAGCAGTAACCGGATAAGCATTTCCCCCGACGGAAAGACCCTCGTCATCCTCAGGGTCAGCCGCTATGACAGGACCCTGCAGTGCGCGGTGGAAAGTTACCCTGAGGTCGTCCAGAAAAGCAAGGAGGTCGCCCTGACTGTGGCCTGTGAGTGACCTGGGGTCCTGGGAATCAAGCCAGGTGGGCTCGGGGACTCACAGGGACAAGGTGACAGGCCAGGCAGACCTGGAGAGAGGTCCCTTCTGGGCCGGCCTTCGGCCAAGTTCATCTGCAAGGAATCCCCGCTGGGCTCTCTGGCTCTGTGGCCTGGGAACTGCACTCCCCACCGAGAGCCACGGAACACTTGATTGAAAACGGGGAACCCCGTCCCCACTTCTGAGATTGGAAATGGTCAGTGTGGATTAGATGAGGTTGGGCTTTGTGTCTAGAGGGGACTTCTTATAGCCACTATCTCTTAAGAGATCAATACTCAATTTATTAAGTTTTTTTACTATCCTATTTTCCCTCAAGCCTTCAACTTCTGGTGGGTGATTTCTTTATTCTGTTCTTCTAAATTTAGGAAAATCATCATAATTTCTTCTTTCCTCAAACTGAACTGACTACTTACACAATTTGACCTAAAGACGTGATGATGCATCCCACACTTTCTCCTTCCTTTGTGCCTCTCCTGCTGCCAGCCAGACAACTTTACAACCCAGAAAGAGCTGCTCAAAGTGTCCAGCAGTTCTTCTCAATCTAACGCATTGAACTTACAACTCTGAGACCCCGATTCTTTCCAATATTCCATGACTCTTCACAGAGAGTATGGAACTCTTTCCCATCTTTCAACTTAAAAAAAAAAATTGCAAATCTAAAATCATTTTCACACCTCCATCTGCCACCATTGTCATGGTCCCTCAGTTTTCCTAATTAGCAGGCTATGGGGAAGGGCCCACGGGAGCCCAGGTCGCGGTGGGGACGATTTCTGACCCCCATACAGTGGTTGGCAGGTCAGAGGTTTGGAATCAAGACCCGGGATGCAGAGTCTGCTAACCCTTGCTAACTCTTTCCTCTCAGTAGGGGACTGAGACCCTAGTCCTCTCCACTGAGCCTCGTTTTATGCACCTATAAAAGGGATCAGTTAGTAGAGCAGATCACATGAGCTGCCGCGGGGATTTAAGCTGTGTGGGGAGGGAGCTCAGAAGAGTGCTGCCACCTGGTCGGCCCCACTTGCTTGCTCCCACCCGCACCTCATTCAGGGTGAGGTGAAGGGAGGCCGTGGGCTGATCACGAAGATGCTCTCGTTGTCGCTATTGCGGCTGGCACAGTGGCCTTGCCTGGGGGGTCTAGGTCAGCTCGGGGTGCAGAGTGAGGGCCCCTCTTGGCTGGGGAAGGACTTCATGTGGACTGAGGGAAGGAGACGGGGCCCTGCGGGGTCAGAAGCAGCTCCGGGCCTCCTGCCCTGTCCCCGCAGATGGGCCCGACAACGTGGAGCTGTGGGGCTCGCCCGACATCTTCAATGCTGCTGCGGATTGGTCTGTGTCAGATAGTGATTCGATTTCTACCTCTGTGTGACAGATAGCCCCCAACGTAGCAGCTTAAAACAACACCCATATCGCACAGTTTCTCGGGATCCAAAGTCCCAGCATAGCTGAGCCCCAAGTCTGGGCGTGGCTTAGCTGGATCCTCTGCTCTGAGTCTAAAAATCACTGGCCTGACCTATGTTCTCATCCGGAGCCTTAATTAAGTAGGAAAGAATCTATTTCCAGGCTCATTCAGGTTGGCGGCCCAAATAACGTCGCTCTGGCTGTGGGATTGAGGCCCCGCTGGCTGCTTCCCGATAGTTGGTTGGAGGCTCTTGGGATCCTGAAGCCACCGCATGACCTGCCACGTGGCTCTGTCCTTGGTATTTCAGATCATGCCTGTCCCTTCCTTCAAGGCCAGCTAAGTGTCCTTCTCTAGTCTGGTAAGACGGAGTCTCACACTAAGAGGGTAGTGATGAGAGTGCCGTTCATGACCCTCTGTCATGCTAGGCTAGAAGCCAATCGTGGGCCCCACTCACACGAGACACAGGAGGACTGTGCAGGGGTGAAGGTCCTGGCGCCATCCTGGAGCTCTGTCTCCTGCAGACAGCTCCTGGGGCTCCACGGCCGGGGGAGGAGAGGGTGGACCTTGAAGACAAGATGTCCTGTATTTGCTTCTGACTCCCTAGGCCTTTTGTCTTCTCTCTGTGAGCCTCAGTTTCCTCCTCTGTGAAGTTTGAGAAATGTCTACCATTGAAGTTTATTGCAAGATTGGAGGGAATATCCGTAAAGTGAATAGGACTCCAGTATTGGGTCATTTATGATGTGTCATTCAAATGCCACCTGGATCCTCCAATGAGGGTTCCTGGTTTCGGGGTTCAGAAATAACCATCAGGTCACGTGTCTGTGGGAAGAGCCCACGATTATTGAAGCTGACACAGAGCGGTGTCCCAGGAAGGACCCCCACCTCGGCAGCCCCAGTGTCCACTCCCTTCCCCTCTGCCCCTCAGCTCCAGCCTGACCCTTCCCAAGACCCAGACCTCACTGTTGGGCTGTTGGCTTCTCTCCAGCATGCCCCACCCCCCACCCCCCGTAGAGGAACAGAGCCCAGGGAGGTGCACCCCACCCCTAATCTGCCCTCTTCCTTTTTCTCCCAGTGCTGGGGAGCAACCCGGGCATCTCAGTCAACGCCACCTCCCTGGTGGAGAGCATGGATTCCGTGGCCGCCTACTGCCACACCAACGTCACCAGTGTCACCTGGTACTTGAATGCTGTGCCGGCATCCAGCAGTAACCGGATAAGCATTTCCCCCGACGGAAAGACCCTCGTCATCCTCAGGGTCAGCCGCTATGACAGGACCCTGCGGTGCGCGGTGGAAAGTTACCCTGAGGTCGTCCAGAAAAGCGAGGAGGTCGCCCTGACTGTGGCCTGTGAGTGACCTGGGGTCCTGGGAATCAAGCCAGGGTGGGCTCAGGGCCTCCCAGGGACAAAGTGACAGGCTAGGCAGACCTGGAGAGAGGTCCGTTCTGGGCTGGCCTGGGGCCAAGTTCATCTGCAAGGAATCCCAGCAGGGCTTTCTGGCTCCATGGCCTGGGAACCTCCCTTCCCACCCAGAGCCACGGAGCACTGGATTGAAAATGGGAACCCCGTCCCCACTTCTCAGATTGGAAATGGTCAGTGTGGGTTAGATGAGATTGGGCTTTGTGTCTAGAGGGGACTTCTTATAGCCACTGTCTCTTAAATCAATACTCAATTTATTAAGTTTTTTTACTATCCTACTTTCCCTCAAGCCTTCAACTTCTGGTGGGTGATTTCTTTATTCTGTTCTTCTAAATTTAGGAAAATCATCATAATTTCTTCTTTCCTCAAACGGAACTGACTACTTACACAATTTGACCTAAAGACGTGATGATGCATCCCACACTTTCTCCTTTCTTTGTGCCTCTCCTGCTGCCAGTCAGACAACTTTACAACCCAGAAAGAGCTGCTCAAAGTGTCCAGCAGTTCTTCTCAATCTAACGCATTGAACTTACAACTCTGAGACCCCGATTCTTTCCAACATTCCATGACTCTTCACAGAGAGTATGGAACTCTTTCCCATCTTTAAACTTAAAAAAAAAAAATCGCAAGTCTAAAATCATTTTCACACCTCCATCTGCCACCATTGTCATGGTCCCTCAGTTTTCCTAATTAGCAGGCTATGGGGAAGGGCCCGTGGGAGCCCAGGTCGAGGTGTGGACGATTTCTGACCCCCATACAGCGGTTGGCAGGTCAGAGGTTTGGAATCAAGACCCGGGATGCAGAGTCTGCGGCTGTTCAGGACTTGCTAACCCTTTCCTCTCACTAGGGGACTGAGACCCTAGTCCTCTCCACTGAGCCTCGTTTTATGCACCTATAAAAAGGATCAGTTAGTAGAGCAGATCACATGAGCTGCCGCGGGGATTGAAGCTGTGTGGGGATGGAGCTCAGAAGAGTGCTGCCACCTGGTCGGCCCCACTTGCTTGCCCCCCTCACACCTCCTTCAGGGTGAGGTGAAGGGCGGCCGTGGGCTGATCACGAAGATGCTCTCGTTGTCGCTATTGCGGCTGGCACAGTGGCCTTGCCTGGGGGGTCTAGGTCAGTTCGCGGTGCAGAGTGAGGGCCCCTCTTGGCTGGGGAAGGACTTCATGTGGACTGAGGGAAGGAGACGGGGCCCTGAGGGGTCAGAAGCAGCTCCGGGCCTCCTGCCCTGTCCCCGCAGATGGGCCCGACAACGTGGTGCTGTGGGGCTTGCCCGACATCTTCAACGGCATCCTCACTGCTCAGCTCGGCTCCAGAGAGACTGCCAGTTCTTTCAATCTACGCATTGAACTACAACTCTGAGACCCCGATTCTTTCCATGTTCCATGACTCTTCACAGAGAGTATGAAACTCTTTCCTTCTTTCCAATAAAAAAAAAAATCGCAACTCTAAAATCATTTTCACACCTCCATCTGCCACCATTGTCATGGTCCCTCAGTTTCCTAATTAGCAGGCTACGGGGAGGGCTCTGGGAGCCCAGGTCGCGGTGTGGACGATTTCTGACCCCCATGCAGCGGTTGCCAGGTCAGAGGTTTGGAATCAAGACCCGGATGCAGAGTCTGCGCTGTTCAGGACTGCTAACCCTTTCCTCTCAGTAGGGGACTGAGACCCTAGTCTCTCTCCATGAGCCTCGTTTTATGCA